GGGGAACTGGGATGAGTCTCTAACCACCAAGATTATAAGGCGTGATTGAGGCTCACTTGATGGAGCTTCTCAGGAGGTCCCCCTTCCTGATACTGATCCAGTCAAGGAAAGATACCTGCCTCTTGCATTTTGGAGTTCTTTTTTTTTTTGGGATCCAATGCTTCACACCTTCACATAATTCCACAGTGTTTCTCAAATTACCTCAATCTGCAAAGTCGTTAAATATCAAATGTATACAAAGACAATATATCAGAAAATATGAAGGCATATTATAACCTCAAAACTGAACTCCCAGTAAATAAATAAGAGCTCATCAACATCACAAACGAAGAAAACACACAAAAGATACCTCGAGTGAATGACTCTGCATATGCTGCTTCAAATGAGCAGGCTTCTGAAAGCTCGCACCACATTCTTCACAAATATTCATTTTTGGGCCTTCCTTTCTCTTTACATCTTCATTTGCCTCATCTTTCCGCCTCTCCATTTCATCCTATTTAAAAAAAACAAGACCCATTTCAATTTCCCTTCCTCTGACCAACCACATCAGCATCTTTCTAAATACACAACTAAAGTTAAGCTCAATCACAAGAAAATCTTCAATTTTGAGTTCACCTATGATTCCGCTGTCCCAATTTATATTACACAACACGCATTAAGGACTCGTTTTGTTTGATGAATAGGTAAAATCAATACACAAAAAACTCTGCTACTAAAATAGCACTTGGTTTCCGATAAAACGAAAAAGAGCACCTAAAAAGACAATAATACTAGTATAACAGTATTGAAATCCAAACATAATTATTTAATGTATTATTATTTGACGCATAACAATCTACGAAATTATAATAATCCTTACATAAGTAGTCAGTGAACCAGAACGACCCTTATTGCATTTCACATTTTATTTCTGGCTATCGAAGCTTCTAATAATTACTGATTGTTAACTTTAGAATACAAGAGAGCTCAAAAAAAATAACCATAACAGTAGATCTATTTGTTGCATTTATGAACAAGTAATACTAGATGGATGCAAAGCAAAACATAAATCCAAAATTAAAAAGAGGAAAGGAAAACAAACGTACATGATGATTGGAGAGGATATGAGAGGAGATGAGGGACTTTTTGGAGCGGCAAATCCCACAAAATTCACAATAATATCGTCTTATGTCTCTGAATATTACTTCTCTCTTCTCTTCTCCCATTTCGCCCAATATCTTCACTGCCATAAAACCCTAGTTCAGGTTGACTGCAACTTCTCCTTCTTTTATAGTTACCGAAAACTTGAAAATTGTTTAAATTCCCCTCCAACTTCTGAAATGTGATACTTCCCCCCACCTCAAGTTTCACCGCTAATCAATATTATTAAGGGAACTTATATAAGGAAAAATATTCACATTTTTGGTAATGAAACAAAAAAAGTTTAAAAATTAAAAGAAATACAATCTTCCTAACCACATCTTTTTTTCTCAATAAACGATATTTGGATACTTTTTTTCCTTCAAAATTTGGACAATTTCTTGATTTGTGTGTCATTCTTGCGCAGAGGTCATACTAATCTTCTCTGTATCATTCCAATTTTATCGGATGTCCTTGAAGGGACATTTTTTGAACACTTAAAAAAATTATTCAGTTTTGGAAAAATCTTTTTTTTTATTAAAGAATATTTTATAAAATAAATTTAAAAAAAGAAACGCATTCGAGACACATCTCTTGTTTTTCTTTAATCAAAAAATAAATAAACTCTTAGCGAACAATTTTTCAATTGAATCATGTGGTGTAAAACTTATAACTTTCAGGCCTTGATCTTTTTAATTGAAGCAGTGAATTCTTTATTTTTTTAATGGTTAGAGCTAATCTAAATATATATTTTTTACATGCTTTGTTATAATAATAATTGTGTGAAGCTTTGAGGTTTCCGGTGAAACCAAAAATGGGGTGGATGGCTAGGAAATAGTTCGCAATGCCATCTTATAACTCTATTGAATAGAGTATTAGAACGAGACCATTAGAAAGTCAACTATAGTCAAACTTTTAATTTCGACCGCTATAATAAAGTGATATTATAGAAAATATATATTATAACATAACACAAAAAATTAATTCCAAAAGAAACTTGACTGTTATATTGAAATGTTATTATACAGGATGACACCCCTTCTGTCTGCTTTATGTCACCATTCTATGGAGTGTACGAAAATGTTCGATGCTTATTTTTGTTGTGTAACATCATCTTACATTAGAAGAAGCTTGTGTTATTCTACAAGTCTTCTCTTAAAAAACAACCATAGATGCATAGTATTTATACCCGTTTAATTTGGTTTAGAAATTTACTTTCGTAAACGTTCTTTAAAAATTGAAAACAACTGTATTCGCATTTAAAAAAGTAGACTTTGTTCTTTGAAAATCAAACCGAAATGCTTTCTAATGACTCAAAACAATCCAAAGAGTTTTAACGAAAAACTAACATGACTTTCCAAAAGTATTTTCTCGAAAGATAATTCAACCAAACAACTCTTTTCAGAAGATCGAGGAACAGATGCAACGACATCAATATCAATGTCATCGTCTTTGTTTTATGAGAAAGGTACATCAACAGCAACGCCTTAGCTCCAAACTAGTTGGGACTGGCCACAATTGTTTCAACCAATGCACTCTTCTTGAATTTTTGGATGCACTCTCGCTTTAAGTAGCCGATACCTCTTTGGGAAAAAGTTTGCAATAAACATTTGATTTTGTCTTTCTTCTTTGTATGGTGTGAGTTACATTTCTGATGACATGACCCTGAAATTTCTTCTTTTGCTTTTTGGTCTGAAACTACTACCCTGCTCGTCTCTATATGAGTCTCACTATCCATGTCGCTCTATCTAAACCAAAACTATATGAATCCAGTAACAGATGCAAGATATGAAAATATATCAAGTCAAGATTTCGTTTGTATATATTTTGCATGGTCAAAGTAACAAATGTTACCTCTAGCAGATAATGCGCCTCCTGTTACACACCCTGCTACTGCTGTATTTGTCATGTCATGCTTTGCTCGTGCCTTTTAACATAATACAAGAAAATGATTACTTATAGCATTTGAGTGTTAGATGAAAAGTACCCGACTCTAATTGTGAGAATGATTTCCAACTTCTTTTCGTTTTTACCAAAATTTAACAGGAAAATTGTAAAAGGGGCACATAGAACCCCATATGGTTATCATCTTCAAGGTCAAATTTACCTTCTCAACGACACATTCAGCAGCAGAGAAAACCATACCCATACAGCAAAAGTTTTGCAGGAACTCCAACTCCTTCGACCCATCTGCTTTGCTTGGTATACAAGTTGTTGCCTCGTAGTCATTTCCTCTTGCATTATTGGTTTATCCAGCGCCCCTAGAACAGACCCATGAACAACCCTAATCCCCCTCCTACAAAACGGAAACCATGCCTCAACAAATGAGCCTAAGAAGTAACCTCACAGCAAAGTCCAAAGCATACACAGAGATATTCCATTTAAGTTACCAGAAAGAATTACCAAATTAGATACAAAGAGAAGCTTTGGAACCAGATTTTGTTCACAAACAACAACAGTTGATAGAGCTTGTAAGCTAACTGGAATGAAGCTCACTTATCCTCTACTACAGGACTACAAGAGAATAACAGTCATTGCAACACGATTAAGATTAAAGACTCTTGTATTACTTTGGCACTTGCAACATAATTATGACATAAAACATAGAAATAGTGTCATCCAATTTTTTCGACATAGACAAGAATTGTCATCCATTATGTTAAGGTATTGCAAGAATGACAATTTGGTCTATCCATTTAAAATAACAATGAACAATAAACAAAAATACCAGCTAATACGTCTCAATCCCAAACAAGTTGAGTCTATATGAATCCTTGTCGACTATGTTATTCCATTTAAACTCATCTCGCTCCAATATTATACAAATATTCTAAATGTATAATCTCTAAAAGGCTAAACCACTCCTAGAATATATTCTCAACTAATATGTATGCACGGGCGGAGCTAGGAGCCGACGCATGGTTTTAGCCAAACCTAGTAGCTTAGTCCAAACTTTGTATTTATATTAAAAATCACTAAATATATACAAAATTAAATTCAGAATCCAGTTACTAACACGTTATGTTGCTATCCTAGAATTTAAAACCCATAAAGTTCAAATCTTGGCTCCGCCTCTGTATTTCTTCTAGTGTGCCCTATATTTTGCTAAGTCTGAATGTCTCCTAGAAATTGTAGGTCAGACAACTTCATTCCATGTGATTTTAATTCTATGTCGTCCTCTTTTAATAATTAATACCTTCACTAGCCATGATTTACACCTACATACTGGTGCATCTGGTGGTCGACGCATGACATGACCAAAAAACTGAACAATATGACACAAAAATTAAATCAAACTAGGAGTGTAATTAAAACATACCCATGACTCCACTAGCAACACTACACACAACACAGTTGTTCCAAATGTCTTGTCCTCTTATTTCCTCCACCGTAGGCATCGAATTGGCTCAATCCGAGGCTTCTGAGCTTGATTGTGCCTCATTTGATTCAATTGCTCGATCACTCATTGCAGCTCTGATAAAATGAAACTGCAATTAATTTAAGACAAATAGATTGAAAAAAGAAAATGTTGCATTGAAAAATTTGAATTTCAAATGATCTTAGGTAAAGAGGAGGCTTGTGGTTGGGCGGCAACCGGCGGCTTTTGTAGGTTTAGTTTCATCATTTATGGCGGGTTACTTTACACAGGTCAGATTCAAAATGGGTTCCCGGGTTTGGAGTCATAACCCGAATATAAATGGGCTTTAAGAGCATATTGGACCGGTGTTGGATCACAGTTTTGATCAGCAATTAAAACCAGAAGTGGAGCCTTAAATTTTCCTTTTCTGTTATTTTCCCATACTTTTAAAGCTTCCCCGGCTAAGGGAAAATACTCTTGGTCCACCATGACAACAGCAGCTGCACTATGGCTCAAAAGAAAAGTAATTGTTTGCGCATTTAGTTGGACATTAACAGCATTTAAAACAGCGCCAGCCATTGGAATTCCAAAATGAGCTTCATACAAAGCGGGGATGTTTGGGGCAATAACTGCAACCTGCCAATGAAGCGGAAAAAATAAGGATGAATAGGGGCATCCACAGGGATACAAGAAATGCATTTCATCAAGAGGATAACAATATTGATGTCCACAACTAACTAATTAAAAGTTTGGGCATTTTTGTTCACTTAATATGGAGAGAAAAAGTGCAACAGGCAACAGAACAAATAAAAGTTGGTGTACATATTACTTAATCGCCTCTTCTTAAATTGAGGATCCAAAGACCCATATATATATATATATATATATATATATATATATATATATATATATATTAGCTTCTTGTTTCATCTAACTATCTTTATTCATCTTTTTTTAATTTTAAAAGCCATTAAATAGATTAAAACATGTAGGTTGAGAAGCAGAACCATGCATTATTATATCCTAACATGACGCCATAAATGAAATTGGCAAGCGCATTACAAGAGGAAAAATATGGGAAAGGTACTGCAAAGAATGAAACTCTCGGGATTGTTAGGCAGAAAACTAATTAACATTCCACATACTTATATCGAGAAAACAAAGATCCTCTAGTAAACTCAAAGTTAATATCATTTCTGCTGTCTGATTTGTCACCAGATAGCAGGAATGTTTTCGATGTATACATAGTTTATGCTGTATAATACCAGTAGATGAAAATCTGTGAACCTATCCTTGCTAGCTTAGTTTATTATAGTCTACAACATACTAATTTTTAATTGCCACTTCCTACTTATATGGAGCCCAATTACGTTCTCTCTTCTTCTACCTCTCATGTTCACTCTCTCTCTCAGGCTCACACACATGCAAGCATGCATGCACACCATGTTTCACACTTTCAACCAAGAATCAGACTGAGCCTATTATATATTAGATTCATCTTTCTTTATTCCTTGTTATTGCAGAATCTGCTTGTGGATGACAGCGTAATGGATTGCCTCATGAGAATAGCACAGATCTTACCTATCTATACAAAATCTACTACTTTGATGGTTAGTTCAAGTTATCTTTTGCAGGAAAAGCAAAGAGATTTATAACTGAAGATTTTCATGGGACAGAATGCATAAAACCACTCTGGTTAAGCAGTTCACTGAAATACCAAAATGACATGCAGTGGATAACTCTAACACAATGTTCTAAGGCTAACCGAACAACAATTGCACCAGTAAAAGAGCTAAAGAGCAGATGAAGCCAAAACTAGTTTGAAGAAAACACAGATAATGTAGTGGTACAGTGAGATCAACTGATCAAGTGCCGCGATGCTCTCTCTAATACCAATGCATAATCACTTTAAGGCGCATATTGCATCTCTGAGACACTAAGACTCGCATCAAAGAAAGATAATTTCTTCAGCTAGATTTCGGCTAAAATATAGGGTTCCAAGCACTACTCTTTTAAAATAGATCTCATTAAATGCAGCAGTAGCCTAGAAATGCAATAACACTTGGAAACAGGACAGTGAGATTAAATAAAGTTGGATTATTTCTAAAAGGAAATGACTTCCACCTGTGACAAAAGTCAATTTCCCCATTTCGGTGAAAACATTTTTCTGGAGAAAAAGATTATCCAATATTCAAGGTAACCAGAAAACATTTGCCGACATACCAAACACACTAAGGGAAAAAACAGCCGATGGCTTTACAAGGATCAGATAGTTGACATCAGTTATACGAAAGATCATACTGGTCACATGACAACAACTTTACCAGTTACACAATGGTTCCCCTTCACTGACTATCTTACTAGACAAAAATGTCTTAAACGTGTCTAAATTAATGCTAGATTTTCCCAGTTCTGGGATCAGATTCGCAAACTCAAGGAAGTGAGCAGAGGGCAAATATGAGGTATGAAGTGAGCTGCATGTTTACAACATTGCCCAATATCATTATATCGATATCTTACAGTTGGGGTAAAAAGAATGTGACTATATATATGTAGGTTGGTGTAACTTCCAACTTTCAGGCTGAGAAAAGATCCGAATTGTCTAATTACTCACTAGGATTAGTGATATCTATCCAAGAACTTCTCAATCAGGACCGAAAATGTAGCAAAGCCAGCACAACCTGCACATGCAGCTTTTGGTCCACCTGAAACGAATGCGATTGTATTATAAATTAAAAGAAACTATTAATAGAAAGTATAAGAGAACTAGCACAGTCCAATTACTCGCTTCATCAGGCGCAGAAAAGCTGTAATTCAAACTAACCGACATAGGCTTAATTCTACAAGCAAACTTAGCATCTACTATCATCAAAAGTCAAAAGACAAGCCATAACCAAAGGAGAGAGAGAGAGAGAGAGAGAGAGAGAGAGAGAGAGAGAGACGACTCCAATTAGAACCCGGGTAGGATAAATTGTCAACTATCTATGCCCCATCTGGGTTAGTATACTTCATATTCCCGGCTAGATTAAGAGAATGCATTAATCTGCAATAAACCCCTCACTCTGGGAACTTGGGTTATGCTGGGAGTCATAAGAGACGAAAAAGGTAGTTATGTGGGTCTCGACATCAAGGTACACCCCAGAAAAGCCCATTTCATGAATGGGATCTCCCAAACTTGAAATCTGGGTAGATAGTATCTTGATAGTTGAAGGATGAAGTTTCTGTTGGACGTTACCTGATGCTCCGGATCAAATGGAATATAAAATACTTGAACTATGATTCTCACTTCGACTATAGGTTATCCTCTAAGAAAACTAAAGTAATCAGAACTCTTTTCCTTAACATCCTTTGAAAGCAGTCCCAATA